TTCAAAGATCATTAAAATGAATATGTGTTCTAATTCAAGCTAGCCCTTTTGAATTGTAGGGAGCAGTCGTTCCTGAGCAGGCTTGGTGAAAGAACTGTCACTAAGCAGAAAATGATATGCATGTATCTCTAAGTCTAATTGCAAGAGAATCTGAAGTAAGGTGGATATCAGCATTGTAGCCACATATGTTTTTTTTTTTAAGTTAATCTAAATTTGCATGAATTTGAGGTCATGTAAAACACCCTTGCTAACCAAAAGCTATGTAAAGTCTTTTATTTTTAAGCATTCATTTTTTTGCTATTTCTGATTTTGGCCCTGAAAATGACTTGATGTTTTTGTTGGTAGTAACAGACAGGGTTCAGCAACACGCTGTTTTGAGAGCGGTCATATTTAACCATACTGCCTCACAAATAGCTGCTTTTGTTTTGCTGAGATCATCTTTGCAGCTTCGTTATGAACATAATTAATGCATCTCCATGCCTGCTTGCCTTGCAGAGGTCGGAGACCTGAGGGAGCTGCAGACGCTGGACATCTCGACCAACCGGCTGATAACGTTACCCGAAAGGCTGCACATGTGTCTGTCGCTGCAGTACCTGACCGCAGACCGCAACCACCTGTGCTGCGTCCCCCGCCACCTCTGCCAGCTGCCCAGCCTCAACGAGCTCTCCATGGCCGGCAACCGCCTGGCCTTCCTGCCGCTCGGTGAGTCACTGCCCTCGGCCCAGCGCCGGGGAGTGGGGAAAAAACAACCTTCCCTTCCAAAACAACCCACCAACAGGCGATTTTCAACCATGCCGGTCCCTTTGCAGGGTCATTACAGTGATCGCGTTGTTGGAAAGTAAGATAATAAGTGAAAAAAGTGAGAAGCACTAAGGTTTCGTGTCTGTTTTAAAGCCATAGGTCAGCTATTAAAGTTGCTTTATTTTTAGCTAACTGAGGGAAAGAAAGTTTAAACGATGCCCTGTTTAAATATAATACTATGTAATCTGAGTTCCACCACTTTGGGTAATGAGCTGTTTGTTTGCTAGATGTGATGATTTAACAAAGATTCTTCAGCTAGGGTTTTTAACTCACCATGGAAACCAGTAACTACACAGAAATTATGTAGCATCATGAGGAATGGCAGCACTGCATAATTTAGCTGAATTTTAGTTTGTGCTGTGTATAGGCATCCATCTCACAGCGGTAGCCCAGAAAAGAATTAAGCTGCCTTTTAACCCTTTGTAAGTTTGGGTCTGTAGAAGGGAGGCTTGGTAGCAAGAGGTGCAGCGAACATGTGGTGCCTTCTGGTGGGAAGGAGTTGCCATGTTAGCAGGACTGTGTGCTTTGCCTCTGAAAAGCAAGTCCTTTTCCATGGGCTATTTACTTGCAGTGGATTGTCAAGGGCTGATTTCTGCTGAAATATGGATACACAGACAGATCTGTCACATCCGCTGAATATCCACTAATAGTTTTTCTAGCACACTATTGGAGTCTGGTTGATTAGGTGCAGATGAAGTTTAGATGCAGCAAATCATGTTGGAAAAAAAAAAGTGAGGTAATCTCATTTCTAAAGTAATTGCATTGTACAGATATTAACAGTTTTTATAGTACTAGCTGTTTAGTCTTCAAAGAAGTTGATAAGCGAAGACTCAGGAAGCCTTTACTACTGACGGGGGCCTCTAACTGTGACTGACCTCTCCAAAGGGAATGTTTTGGGTATATCCAAACATACGTCATTATGTAAGCGAGGAAATGAGTCCCAGGATGCATCGTGCACTTCCACAGCACTCTCTAAAATAAGCAAAGTAACTACCCCAATTCTGGCAAATCTTTTTAGCTCCGCTTTACAAGTGAGGGAAGTTGAAGACTTCTCAGTATTTTTAATTTCGCAAAAGTAAGATGCTGTTATATATGATAAGATGTAAAACATTAAAGGATTTGAACGGTTAATGTAAGTTTTCTTTACTTTTACGCTAGTAGCTTATCTGTGAGTGAGCGATGACCTGGATCAGCTGCAGATCTGCTGAAGTGTTCTAAGTTCAAAAGGAGGAAATAAATCTCTAATAAAATGACACACCTTCTTTTTTTTTTCTTTATTTTTAGACTCAAAATTCAAAACATTCAAAAGGAACTTTAAAATAACGGGAAACATCAAAGACTATCAATTGACCTTGTTCAGTAGTTCTTAATAGTGACTCACTGGTGAACATTTGGAGATAATTTGCTATCTCTGAATATGAAACTGAATCATAAATCCTAGAGTTCAGAGGAAAAGCGGTATGGAATAAATGTTAATGTTTAATCCTTCCTTCTGAAGAATCAGAAGGCTTCAGAATGGTCAAGATGTGATGAAATAAAGTAGAAGAGAGGGTTAGTGCACCAAAAAAGCAAAAAGATTAAATCTATCTTCTGCCATGTGGAGGTAAATTCTGGAGTGTTTGCTGGGGCATGGAGCACTGTTGAGGTTGAGGCACAACTGTAGCATTATTTCTGCTGGCTGCCCATGTTGGCTAATGTTATTTTGTGTATACTCCTGCATCCAACTTCTCTTTCATGGTTAATGACCGTGAGTAAGGAGGTTAAATAACTGAGACACACACATTGTAGAAACATTTACAAGTGGTAATCAAGCAAAAATCATCAGGCAAGTTCTTGAAATTAGGGAGTAGAGTAGGAAGGCAGACATCTTATTTATCACCAAGCAGTGATAAATAGGTTTTTTTTCTTCCTTTTTTTTTTTATTAGACATGTCCATGTTAGAAGAAATAGTGGTGTGTTAAACATATTGGCTAACATACTGGCTTGTTAAAGTGTGTTTTTTTTCTTGTTTTCCATATGGTGATTAACATCCATTGCGCCACAGAATCAGTTCTTCATCTAAGCATGGCCCTAGTAGCTGCTTGTGGAAGCCTTGCTTGTATAATGGAAATTTATGTTTTCCAGGGATTAATAAAAAGAAGATATATTCCAATCCCTGCACTTTCACTGCACTGCTGGATATGTACCATGTAGTTTGGTCCTATATGTTTTTTTTATTTTAAACGGTAATATTTACCTTTCTGCACTTTGAGAACACATGCATCTTAAGAAAAAAAACAGTGTAACAAAAGGAACCAAAATTGTAAAATACAATATGAAATACCTCATGCCACTCTGATTTTTCAGAACTGGCATGTAAACAAGCAGATGGGTAAACAATGAATTAGGCGTTTGTTCTGCAGCGTATACTTAATGGTTGGATGTAGAAGCATTTCACACAAAAGATTATTTTTCAGCTGTCATATATTCCAGTTTATATTCAAAGAAATAAAAATGCACAGATTTGAATCTTTGGATTTTCTAATAAATTTCTAAAAAATACCCAAACTATAAGTGCAAGTCAAACTGGAACTGGCATCCTGGCCAACCCTGTGAACTTTTTTGTTACTCGTTTGGTTGAAGGATGCAGTTTTCCTGTTGCTCTGATAAGTGGTCTTGAGAATTCTCTTGAATGGCAGATGGAACTACTGATTATTTTATATCTATCTGTTTATATTATAAATTACCCTTTGATAGAAATTTAAATTGTTACTGTTACCAAATTCTTCAATGCCTGAAAACAAATTCCACTGCAAGTAGAAATTTGAATCTGTTGACAATGCTAGAATAAAAATTATTTATGTAATAAAGGTACAAATATAATTAAAATAGGCCATAAATTTCGAAGTGTACTCACAGTACAGGTTATGACAGCAGATATTTGGTGTTATATTACTTTATTGAGGGTTTATGTGCACTTTTTGTTTAGAAATTGTCCCTAGTAATTATCAGTGCACAGTAGACAAAGGCCTTATTCTGCCTCAGTATATGCTGCTTTTGTATCCTTGCCCTCTCAATATGGTTAAAAGAGCATCAGTGCAGACACACAAGAGCTTTTGTTCCATCCTCAGCCATGTGGAATGCATATGGCAGGGCCCTGAGGTTTTTTTTTTTAATATACGAAAAAAAGGAGGGGGGAAAGAAAGAAAAAGCAAAAAATTAGAACTGGGGTTTGTTCAGGACTTATGGCATTTGGTCATTTCTAGGAGAAAGGTCTTTGATCTGAGAGCCTGGAAGGAGGAAAGTGGAAATGTTTTAGACACAGTGCAGGCTTGCAAAAGCCACATGAAAACCTTCTTTGTAGCTTTAGCCTTTTCATAGATGGGCAGCTTCCTTATTTCACAAAGTTCTTAAGAAGTGTGTTTTTTAGAGGAGTTTTAACACTATTTGTTGACTGATACAAGACATAAAAATTAATGGAGATAGGATACAAAGAGCTTTTTAAGTGATGATTTATTTAAATTTAACTAAGCTTTATGAATAGTGTTTGAAAGTTGAAAAAAATCTTTGGGGACTGGGAGATGCTTGGTTATTTAATGCAAAGAAACTGTATCAAAGGAACGTTTATAGTTACGGGCTATTTGGCGTGGGGAATTGAATTTTTCCTACTGAGATATTTTGTCTAACGTCCAAAAACTTGTTTTAATTACCTAGGAAATGCAGTCTTCAACTCAGAACTTACCGTCTAAACATAGCATAAGATAAAGACAGAGCAAAGTGATGAGATGCATCAAGCGGGTGGAGAAAAAGCCAACCCCCTCCCTCCCTCCAAAATGCATATGAAAAAGGCACCTCTTAGTCTTTTTTTGGGTTGCCTGATTTCCAGCCCACTTATATACATCTGTGTAGAAATGAACAAATGAGCCTTAAAAAAATAGAAAAAAAATCTCCCATTCTTCAAATCAATAAGTTAAACAGTAGCACATCCAAGCTATGCAGTCACCCCTAATTTTCAGCTCTTATTAGTGTAATTAGTTCTTGCAGCACGAGGCAGTGTCCGTTTGGTTTCAGATATGCCGTGCACGCGCTTTGCGCTTTAACTTTTATTGCCTGGCTCTTTTGCAGCAGTACAGGCTTTTACAGTGGCCCAGCATTACCATATTTTTATTCATTGTAGGATAACAATGCTTTTGTTTCATCTAAAAATAGCCCAGGTCTTCAGTAATCTATTTTCAGCCAGGCAATATCCCCAGCCAAAATAAATCATCTTTTTGAGGTGGTAGCTCCTAAGGATGCACGTTAGCTCCTCCCAGCAGTGCCCGCCAGGCACTGGAGATGCCTCTCTCTGCTCTTGGGGGCAGAACGATCGGTGTGTGCATCTTAGAGCACGTTGAACCTAAATCTCCTTGGGATAGTGTCAAAGAAGCCTGTGCTGGTTGAAGGTGTCCACTGACTCCAATCTGAATAAAGGCCAGTTGTCCCTGAAGCCTAGATCAAAACCTCCATAGACCGTAGCAGGGTAAGGCTCTAGTTTAAAAGGAAAAACAAGTCAAGTTTTTGTGTTGGCACTTTCCTTCCAAAAAAGAAACCTGTTAGGTTTTCTGTTGGTATCATCACTTGTTCTCTACAAAAGATTCGATAATGCTGCCTCCTTCAAGTTCCTCAGCGTGATCTTCCAAGGTTTCTGATGCTTGCAGCTGCCACTCGAGAGGGCGAGAGCTGGAGACATTCGATATATTGTAAGCGTGGGATACACCCTTGAAAAGCTATTTGCTTTATCTGGGTTAAATTACATCCAGAGCTCTGTGTGTAAGAAGAACTATTCAGTGATAAAGGACTGCATTACCTACTGTCATAATAAGGAGTAACAAGGGATCTCAGACAGTTCATTACTCCGAACAAAATATCTAAAGAGAAATATCACAGAAAATGTTCTAATTTTTAACTCTATTCTTGGTATGATGGTGAGTATGAAAGGGACAGAAACTATGTTAATCCCTCTAAGGTGACCTTTGTTTTTATGCCAATTAGGAGAATTGACAGTTGGGAAAAATGGGAAGTCAGAACTGGTCAATTTTACGCTGAGCTTTCAGTGTGCCCGATTCAGCCAAACACTTGTTTGTCTTGATTAGTTTCTGTAACAGACTCTTAAAGGCTATAAAAGGTTAAGATAGAGGCATACAAATATGATGTTCTTAAAGTATATGTAATAACTTTGAAATAAATTGTCCCATTCTTTCTCCAAACTGACTTTAGAGTTTTCAGTATGAAAATTCTTAATGGGATATTGAAAAAGGTTTTATTTATATATATATATGTATATATATATATATATATGCATATATTTCAATTTCTAACCAGTTTTTCAGTTAATCCATAATAAAATAATTAGCTCACTTTCTAAGGTGAGAAGTTAATAATTTAACTTTGCTTACGTCAAGTTTGATTATTTCTTTTTTTTTTTTTTAATAAACTGTTTTGCTTAAAATTGTCATTTTGTCATCCCTTCTCCTCACTTTTTTTTTTCTTGTTTTCTAAACCCAGATTTAGGTCGTTCTCGGGAGCTACAATATGTTTATGTGGATAACAACATTCATCTGAAAGGGCTTCCTTCTTATCTGTATAATAAAGTCATTGGTTGCAGTGGGTAGGTATGAGTTAATTTAAATGTTTTGCATAATTTTTCCTTGTAAAATTTCTCCCAAATGTGTGCCTGTATGATACAACTCTTTTGTGATTGATTCAGAACTAATGTTACTTTAAGGGCATTACTGCAGCTGCCAGTTCTCTTTTACTTTGGTAATAAATTTTGTGTATTAATTTGCTGACTTACAATATTTTAGTATTAAGCCATAACAGTCAGTGCAGTTATTCTAAAGGAATTCTTAATGTGCTTGAACCTGAAGAGTAGCTGCATTTAAATGTGGCCAAAAGTGTAGGCTTTGTAGATTTTTTTAATCTTGTTTTTCAGAACTAAAGAATGCAAAAAAAAAAAAAAAACCTTTCTCATATGTTAAGGCTTTTCACTAGTTTGTAATTCCTAAGATTTTTTAAGATAAGAGCCATTTTTTGGAATGTCACGTGCAGCCCCTTCGCTCACTTTACATCCCAGCATCAGCACTTCATATGGCTTGGCACCAACTAACTAAAATAAGTAACTTTTTTTTTAGGAATTCTGGATTGACAGGTATATTTTTAAGTGTGCATTTCAAAAATATCCTAGGCAGTCTCATGTTTGCGGTTAGGATGTGAGGAAAAAGTGGTCTGTGTAGGACAGTAGCTTAATTCTTTCAACATTGACACTAGCATAAGTTGGGATCAGCAGTGCTGAAATGAATGGAGTCTTGCTGGTGGAAGACTGATCAGAGGAGAATTGTCGCCATTACCATCTAATTATAAATTTCTGGTACGCTTGCTCTCAGCAGATCTTACATTAAATATAAATTCCCTCTTTACAGCCTGTGCTCTACTGCAATGTGTGAGATACTGAGTCTTGACATTTTCTTTTTTTTTTAAAAAAATATTCCTCTGTCGCATAGCTGATCGTGTGATATCTAAACACTTGCAGTTGTATTATAATTTTACTGATCTGTGTGCAGCCTCAAACTTTAAAAGATTAGCTTTTCAGTAAAATAATTCGTAGGTTTTTTGTTTGTTTTCAGAACTGAGAGTATCTTACAAGAAAATATTAATGATAGTTGGCTTTAAGGATAATAGAAATGTATTGATTTGACTGAAAACAGTAGGGGAGATGCCCCAAAAAGTATGGTCCAACTATCCTGTTTAATTCAGGTGATTTTAGAGAACAACTTGATTAATTTTTGTAACATTTGAAGACCTTATTTTAATCTCAGCCAAAATATTTTTATCTTCCCACTCATCTTTTATGAGACTCCTCTGCTCTCCACAGTAAGTTCTATTTCAATTTGAATTTTGATAATTGTTTGGTAAAATTTCGGTTTCTTCGATCTTTGGTTTTTGTTGTTCAGTAATGGTTATAAAATCCATAACTAAATTTCCACAGACTGCCTTTAAAAGGGAGATGCAGGAGAGAGAAAACTATTACCAGTTCTTTTGGCCTAGACTACATTTCCACTGCTGGTAGCATTCTGTCTGGAGAACACGATGAATCTAGTATTTCATTATAAAAAGAAAAAGGAAAAATAAAATAATTTAATTTTGTAAGCAAAATAGTATTTGCATTTGTGTACCAAATGCATACTTCCCTTTATGAAAAGCTTTTGAAATCCTAGATTATTTTTAAGAAAAACTTTGACATGGGAGAAGCATTTCTGTATACTTTAATAAGAAACCCAAGCCTTCATTTGATGGTGTGCTGGGCAACATTGTTAAAAATCATATATTAATGGTAATCTGTAGCATTTCTATGTTCTTTCCAAGAAGGTGTTAGTAACCAATGCAGGATTTTTACAGGTCAAACAAAAGGGCTGAAGATCCACAGTTTAGTGCCTTTCCTGGGCATCCTCTGGGTAACAAAATCTGACATGTTGCTGTTACAAATATAAAGCTAGATTTCTGAAAAGAGAATATAAATTGCACTGTGTAAGTAATGAATATCTGTCTAGGAATCCTGCAGTCAGACTGACTGAAAAACCCTCTTTTACATAAGAGGTGATGATATCAGCACTCAGAATAAATTTTGATCTTCCTTTTTGCAGATTGGGTTTCATGGTCTCCAGCTAGGTATCTGTCAGCTTGCTGAAGGGAGCCAAGTGGTGGTCACAGCTCTTCCCCTTGGGGTTTACTTGCCAGGGATCTACTGTAGCTCCATTCTTCCTGCTTGATAAATCATCTTTCCTCTCTTCCCTTTCCTGCTTTTTTTGTTCTTGACCTCCATGAAGTTTGTTTTTGTGAAGACTTTATTTTTACCCAGCACTACTCATACGACAAAATTATTTCCCTGAAAAATCCTGATTTTTGTTTTTATAGATGTGTGTGTGTTTTATGTACGTACATATAAGATAGGGTCTGTCTCTCTTAGATTGTTCTGCTTGATGTCTGGATTGCTTGCTTTGTTTTTCGGTGTTGCGGGAATAAGCATCGGGCAGCCCCAACGGCCAAGCTTTGAATTGTAGCAACTGTAGCAGCTTATGGGAATTCCTTCCATTTAGAATGCAGAGGGGCTGATCAGCTTAAAGATGCATGCCAGCTAATTTGTTGGGAACACATTGCTGGAGAATTAATTATTGGAATATTAGAGTGCTGAAATCCTGTGGTTTTTTTTTTGTTTTGCTTTGTTTTGTTTTTTGTTGTTTTTGTTTTTTGTTTTTAATCCCATTAATGATTTGTGGGAGCGTATTAAGTTTTTGACAAGAGGCTTATTGACTTGCTGTTTGCTGCTGTTCTTCGTTGCTTGCTGCTCTGGGGTGCTTTTTTCTTTAATAGAGGAGATGAGATTCTTTGTCATCAGAGAAATACTAAGAGATTTCTTTCACGCCCGATACAGCCTAATAGCGTTACCTCAGTTTTAGGTCCAATATCTGGGAAGGCTGAGTAATTTGTGTTTCTGTTCCATTTTGTTAGGACTGGCCCTAACAAGTTGCTCTTGGCTTCAAATTTAAGTTGTCATAAACAATTCCAATTCCCCCATTGACTTCCCCAACTTCTTAGCAGAATTTTCCTTTGCGTGTCTCTTTGGTATGATAGATTGCAACAGGGATCATGTAAAGAATTATTATTTTTACTACAGGCTAAGTTGCTGTCCTTGGATCCAAATAACTTCTTTTTCTCATGATTTGGGAAGGACAATGCTAGTAGACTTACAGGGTTATCTTCTTATTACAGCTTAGGGGTTTTATTTTTTGTTTTTTTCCTTTCTAAGGGAACTCTGTGGATGGGGAAAGTTGCAGCAGAGAATCAGCCAGTGGCACTTCATGCTCAGCTAGTTGATCCAAAACACAGGAAACCAATTATTGGTACAAAACTGCTCCTTATGCAAAATACTTAGCAATGGTGGCATTCAGGTGCTAAATGAGGTCAGCTTTTAGGCAAAGTAAGGGACATAGGACAACTTCTGAGTAGTGGACTTGATTGATCCCCTTAGGATAGTGTTCTCATTTCTCTCTTTTACATGTAACATGGTCAGTGAAGACCTCCAGGTGACACAAGACCAGCATGTCACAGAGGGTGGGGATCTGTAGGAAATGCACATCAGAAGGTATCACACTCTCCATGAGTCCTTGGAAGGTGCAGCTCTCAGCGTGCTTCGGGCTGATCATGTGAATTTTTCCACAAAGTTACTTTTACTGTTTTCTAACCACTTTCCAAATATTTTGTGTCCTTCCAGTTGTGGTTCTCCAATTCAGGTTTCAGAGGTGAAACTGCTCTCTTTTTCATCGGGTCAGTTAACTGTGTTCCTGCCAGCAGAGGTGAAATCTATAGGGATGGAAACGGATCGTGTGCTGCCGTTGCAAGAACTGGCCATGAGGACGCTCTATACCACCTACTACAGGCTTTTAAAAGGTGTGAAACTTGTGCGTTCTTCAGGTTGCCTGAAAACCACTCCTGTTTTTGCAGAGAGAGAAACATTTCAAACAGTTCCTCAAAGAGCTGGGCAGATTCATGTTTATGTAATCAAATTATGTTTAAATTGCTGTTTTAAACAAAATACCAAATATCAAAGCCAGAGATTGAAAAACTGTTTCTAAGGTACGGTGGTGCTTACCAATGGTTTCTTGAGGGCTGTACGAAGAAGGAGACTTTTTGCCAGAACTCTTTAATGGAAATAGGAGATGAGAAATGCTCTTCCTGAGGCAAGATGAGATGCATCAGCCAACAATGCAGCTCCTTGCCAGGCAGCACACTCCTAAACTGGCAGACTTGTGCATCAGGCAATAGAAATGTTTGCAGCCGCTGGCCATTTCGGTGCAGCGTGACAGCTGAGCTGCTTTAGTTCTGCCCCAGTTCAGACTTTGTTGTGAACTGGCCCTTGGCTCATCTGGCTATATATCGTGCTGTCACATGAGCTGGTGATATCTGAGAATAAGCTGCGGATTCAGATTTTCTCAGATTTCGGTGTATTGCAAATCTCTCCTATTCGCGGCATCCTGGAAATTTGTCAGCGTCAGAGGTGAAAGGAGAAGGTGGGAAGGGTGGAGAGTTCCAGGAAAAGGATGAGAGGGTTACGGTAAAGGGTCGCTTGCGCTGTAGCCCCTGGAGGAAGTCCCAAGTGCTGAACTGTGTCCATGCCAGGAAGAGCATCCGTGGAGCTGGCATTCTCCGTGACCTCAGCAGCAAATATACTGAAGGGAAGAGACTTCATGGTAAAGGGTGTGATAAACACAGCAGCCTGCATGTGTAGGAAGCAGCACTGCTTTCTGGAGGTTATATTAACTGATGCAGAGAATTAATTCACTAGTTTAGGTGCTATGTGTTTCTGCATACAGAGGGTAGATGCAATGAGTTTAATTGTTCATTATCATATCATATCAGCTCCACCAGAATTACACAGTGAAGGATGCTGTTTCATTCTGATTTGCAGAATTCTAGTCCCTGCTGAAAAGGAATTTAAGAATATAATATATACCAGAAAGCAGGGTTCGAGATCTTTTAAATCATCAGTAGAACTGTTTTCCTTTTCTAGTGGTGACTTGCACAGTGATTTCTGGAGTATGAGTGTGAAACTGGTTCTTGAAGACGTAGGTTTGAGAATAACAGGCCAACACTGCAAAATCAATTTAAGGAAGTTTGTAGGAGGTTTATACAAGGATCTGAAGATTTTATCTGGTTGCAGCAAAAGTGGAGAACTTGAAAAAGATTGTGAAGCATCGTTATAACCCTCTCCTATTTCCAGCTAGGAAGATTGTTCTGTGCTGTATAGCCTTCATAGCTCTTCCTCTGAGGGACCTTGTGACAGGTGCTGTGGATTACCCTTGGTGACACCCAGATTTCACTGAGACATGAGTAAAGCAGAGTCAGGAATAAGATAATGGTGGCTTGGGGAAACAGGGACACATGATCAAAGCTGCAGGTTTGATCTGTCACTGATTGCTTGAATTTGCAACTTTAAAGATGCTGTTAAATGCTCAACTGCCTCTAGATAAGTATGAAAGTGGCTAGACTACTTTTCTGTTTGTCAAACCTGTCATCTTAAAGTGATGTTGTGGAACATTGTGCATGGGATTAAACCTTACAGCGTTTGAAAGCTGAAACTAGTCTGTTATCTCAAAACTGATTTATCAGGTACTGCATCTTGTCCTGATTACTCAGCACCTAAACTCATTCATCTGTCTTGGCTGTGTCTTAGTTTTCAGACAGAGATTAACCTGTTGGTTTTAATGTATAAAATAATAAGCAACTTGGGTTAAGCCTGAAAAAGAAATGATTGGTTCTTCCCATGAAATGACCATGGCATCTCTTGAACTGTGGGGACATCACTGTGCATATATTGATCGCTTTGGAGTGGCCTATTTGCTATGAGGATTATCCTGCGCTGGATTGTATTTCAATTAATTCTAAATATTAGAGATCCCTTTTTGCTGCTGGTGGGCTTTTGAATGAGCTTAACTGCTCATTGGCTGCTGGATTGGCTGCTGAAAGATTTCAGTAAAATAATACTGATGTCCTTTCTAGAATTGTACCTTGTTTATTATTAAACACTTGTGCAGATTATAAATATGGGATACTAACTCCAGCCCAAGTCCTCCAGAATCCTTATGCCTGAGAATGCTAAGTGACATACTACTGCTTTTGATTATTTCCTTGATCCACAGTATGTTCAGCTGGGTATTTGGGCCCACTTAATCTTTTACCTGCAGGGTTTTTCTAACCTTTACATCACTAAACTTTATACAATGAGAACATCATGTGTTTCACCTTGGTTGTGGATAATGTGCTTTAACTTGCTGCTGTTCCGACAGCCTTGAGACAGTGGGACCTGACTTGTTCTCAATTGTTCTTGTATTGTGCTTACTGTGTTCGACTTGATGGTGCAGTTGTTTTGTTACAAGGCTTTTTTGTTTCTTCTCTTCCCTAGATTTGAACTTTCTGACTCCGATCTCATTACCCAAAAGCCTCTTGGAATTGCTGCACTGTCCCTTGGGACACTGCCATCGTTGCAGCCAGCCCATGTTTACCATTGTGTACCCAAAGCTCTTTACCTTGAGGGAAACTCCAATGGCTGGATTGCACCAAGGGTAATTATACAGGAAATTACACTGGGATTTCATTTAGGAAAAAAATATCATCTTTATGGAGCAAAGTGGGTTTTTTTTTTTTTTTTAAGCTTAGCAAGCTTTCAGATCTAAAGCTCCTTTCCTACAACTACAATAACAGTTGTCAAATCTTTTACTTGCAAAGCACCCAGCAAACTGCCCTAAGACAAGGGTTGGATCACTTCTGTATTCTAGATTGATGTTAGACAGAAGGATTTTTGGTATGATGGGATTGATCTGTTTGTGGAATGCACTTGTGTGCCCAGACAGGATATATTGCCTAACACTGGTACTTCTCCTGATGCTCTCAAGCCAGACTTAAGGAGAATGCCACCACCAAATAAACAGTGTCCTAGGATTAAAGGTAAAGAAAGAAAAAAAATCTCTAAAACCGCAGTTTAAATAGAATGCTCTGCAGTCAAAATACTTTTTCCATGCTAATGAATTTGAGATAAGCCATAGAAGTATTCTACATTTTTAAAAAGTGGCTCGCTAAGAAACGTGTTAAAAATATTTCAGTTTTTATGGTGATAGCAGTTATGAACATGTCTGCAGGTTTCTCTAGTCAAGCTCAGAAGCCTACGCAAACTTACAGACTTGCCTAGGAGAACAGCCACAGCAAGGACTCAAAATGGGGGGTGATGCAGGGAGGATTGCCCCCATGCAAACGAAAGTTTAAAATACCCTGAATGTGAGCACTGATCATCTTGCAGTGATTCTTTTCCTATCCCCTATTAATCTCAGCTGATACTGTGGCCTGGCAGCAACCATAATATTAACAAATACACGTTCTGCAATGAAAAAACATCATCAGAGAGATTTCCATTGATTCTACTTAAATCTCTAGGCTTAATCTATGAAGACTTCAGGATTCAGCACCCTGGAAGAGCCATACCCCTTCAGAGAGGTTTCCTCTGTATTTCAGATCCAACTTTGTCCACAATTAAGCTCAAATTTACTTGAATTTAAAAATTACTGATCTCTAATTAGGGTTAGAGATTTTTGTCACTTTTTTGCTCATGTGCTTCATTTTTTTGCTGGTATCACTTAGCAGGCTGTGCCCTTCCCTTTTTGCAAGGTTATAGGTGCCCGAAATTGCCATATCCTATGTAGGAAGTGGTACCTGCTTGAAGTTTAAGATGCCTGAGAAAACTACAAGAAAAAAAGGAGAGTATGTTAATTTTTGATTGTGAACCCAATATTACTAGATGCAAGTTCAGTATGAAGTGAAGAATGTGGAAGCTCACACAGATCCTTATCTCCTTGCTCCTGAGTGCTAAAGTGGCTAGCAGCACCATCATCGTCTGGCCGTGGATTCTTCTTTTGAATTTCCTGGGGGCTTTTATTTGCTTTGCTTTGAAATTCTCCTTTATTTTTCTCCTCTTTGGAATAGTCCCCTTTACAGAATGTATCAGAATGTCACCAAAATAGCAGCACTACAGGTACTGGGGCAGTAGAAGGAAACGTAAAATTCTTTTACCCTGCATGAAGTAAGGTCTTTAGTCTTTAAATTGAACAACAAGGAGGCTTTGTCCCATTCATAGCTGGTATAATTCAAACAAAACTACAGTAGTGTTTGAAACCTAGTTGGCCCTAAAGAAAAGTCACTTGGGTTAAACAAGCAAATGTGTTGTTCAGGTTCTTTTAGCGAAGTCATATCAAGACATTACTTACACAGCATCTCCTTAGAGATGGGGGAGCAGAAAGAAAGGTGCTTTAAAAAACAAACTGTTTCTGCAAATTAATTTTTGGTTCATATAATGCACAAGATGCTGCACAGTTCTTGTCCTGCTTTTGATTTTCCCTAACAATAAAAAGGCACTGCTTTTCAATAGGAGAATGTTTACAAAAAAAGAGCGTAACTGTTGATTCTCGTTGATGGTATTAGTCATTTTTCCACAGCTAAATCACAGTCTATTTTGCTGTGGGTTTTTGGCATAATAGATATCTGATTTGTAAGCAATTCAACTTTATGAAATGAAAACAACTTTGGTCTGTCAAATCTAGGCAGCAGCCGGAAGGCTGCATAAATGCTCTTTTGGAAAAACCATTTTTTTAAAAAAGCTCTCTTGCTTATTGAGATGGCATTCTTTAACTTGTCATTGTATTACAGTTCACTCGGATGTTTAAATTCAATGGGTTTCATCCTGATTCAAATAAAATTGCTCCCGTGTTAGCCTTTATATTTAAAATGGTGGAAGATGTTACAAATACGTGATCAATAATTTCTTTCCAGCCCAATAGAGTGGTACAATATTTTAAGAAGGTGATGGTAATCTGCTTATCACTAAATCCTTATCTTGATTAAGACAACAATGGGAGAACATAGAAAACCAGAGTTCCCCCCAAAATCAGAAAGCTTTGATTTCTAATTAAATTTGAATTGTTATTCATTATAAAGCTTACAGTATGGGATGGTAGGTGTATCAATGCACACTTTTATTGTTTAGGAATTATAAAATGATAAATTGACAAAAACATACTTTTTTTGGAGGAACACTATATTGTCATTTTTAAGTGAATCAGTCAAAAACTGTTATTTCTGTCTGGTTTTCACTGTTTTTAAAAACAACACAAGGTGGATATCTTAATTACCTTATGTAAATTATCATGCCCTCCCTTAAACAAGAATGCACAGTGTTTTTGCAAAATGCAGTAATGAATATAATCTTGAGTAGCTGACATTTGATGCAAATCCAGAGACAGTGAGATCTGAAGAGGGCAGCCTGTCATCCTTATCTCCATAGCTCCTGCACTTGGCACGGGAAGATTGTCTGGAATTGCAGAGGTGTGATAGCTGGTTTTTGAAGATGTGAAGGACAGGGCTGCAGCTCTAAAGAGCTTACAGTGACCATAAAACACACAGGGAAAGGGTCCCAAACATTTGAGCAGTATTGATTAGCACATGCCACGCTCATGGCAGTAACTGCTGTCTGGATTTCTGTATCACAGTCTGTATCCTCTTACAGGAAGGGAGGGTCAACTTCTCTATGTGAAAAAGCACAGATGACATTAGCACTGGGTAAAGTGTGATTTGTGCATTAGGAGAAGACCGTTTTTAACGTTTTTCAGGCCGCTATCTCGGTCGCTGCCAGGCTGGGGAGGGTCACACCGGAGCATGGGGAGGCTGGGACGGTGCTTTCCTGTGACCATCTCTGGTGGCATCTGAGCTGCTGCGGGCAGCGTGGCTGGTCCCTCAACCTCGCCGAGGATCTGGGCCCCGTTGCTCGCTCAGCTGAACTGCAGGAGGCCGCTGGACTTCAGTTTTTTCATGCCTACGAGCAGCGGTTTAGGAAACACACGAGCAAAGCTGAATCAAAGTGCTCCCAGCAGCTATTTTCATTTTAGCTGCAAACCCTCCCGGCTGTAACAGCCAACCCCACCCTGTGCAGAGAGGAACTGCTGCCCTCCTTCAGACGGAGCACAAAGCAACCCAGGGAGGTTGTGAGAACCCCCGCAGCGTTTCCCTGCTGCTTTATCCCTCACTCATATACAGCAAATGAACCCTCCTTTGCTAAAGTGCTAAGACAGGCTAATCCCTGTACTTTTACAAGCCATCGTATTGTCTGCTGTGGAACGGGGCCAGTAACTTTAATGTTGACAACTCTTCTTCCCTCCCACCCCCGCTTTATATTTTTCTCTCTCTGCAGGAGGACAACTGTTAGCTTTGTGGCATACTGCTGCTCCACCCAGTGTCTGCAGACTTTTGACCTACTGAGTTGATAAACACTCAAAGCTGCTCAGGAGCCCAGCCAGCTTCAAGCCGCATTAGCCTGCGTAGCCCGTTGGTGCTGGAATACTGTGTGCGTGCGTGTGTGCCAAAGCAGCCGACGTGCCCGCTCGGGAACACGGAGAGGCACTTAATTCCTGCCCTATCAAGGTTGGATGAACTGCAGAAACTTTTTGGAAGCATAAATACCAGGCTTTCACAAGCGTTAACTTCTCTCTCCTCCAAAGCAGCATGCAAACCAAACAAATTCACGAGTCCTGTCTCCAGTTTTCGAGTATGGCAGTTTTCAAATGAGACGAATTCTAACAATGTTTAATTAATCTATAATTTAAAAATTCCATTTATCACAAGCCAATTTTCAATTATTAATCTTCACAATCCTCTTCAGCCTGCAGTGGGGGGCAGGTGTATACATCTAAACTGAGAGAAACATTTGAAGGATCACGGTGACTCTCCCATAGAACTTGACTTTATTTTCTCCCATTTGTCTTAATAGTTTTCCCAATACAGTTTTCTCAGTTGTAGACTGAGTCTCGGATAGCTAACTGGTATTTAAATCTGCGTATTCACAGCAGGTCTTTCTTTCTGGTATCTTTACAAGTCGCGCTGATTTCCTTGGAATAACGAAGATATGTGCAGAGACTAAAGAACCTGTTTTGGTAATGAAGTCTGGTACTCATATCTACATAAGTGGTCTTGCTCCAGCATGTTTGGGGATGTGTTTTCTTTATTTTCATCTTGGGCTTTTTGGAAAACACTTTCCCTCTTGCTTCTTTGAGTTCTCCAGGAAGAAGATGACTTTAAATACCAATTTCACTTGGAAAAAAATAGTAACATGACGGTAAATATTTATCTGTGTTTATATCTTAAGTGCAGACCATAGGCCTAAAAAGAGCCAAAGAGCAGTTCTTCCTCCTTTTCTTGGTTTAGCATTTGGCTGATATCCAAGAGAGGTTCAGTTGAGTGTTGTATCCTCAGAGAAAGCTGGAAGAGGGGGTAGGACAGTGTGCATATGTTGATGTGTAGGCATATGTGCATACACAGGTATCTTCCCAAAAGGGCTGTAACATCTATTTTAGCATGTTAATAGCAGATTTAGCACAAAATTCTCCTGCCATCTTTGTGGGAATCTTTTTGTTTGATCATGTTCATTTTAAATAAAGGACAAAGGATGGTAAAAAGGCCCAAAATGTCTGCATAACTTAAATGTTTAATTTTACACTGAAACAACTTATATAAAATCAGTCCCTCTTGGCTTGTTTTAGAATATATAAATTTTTAATACAATGTCTTCATGATTTATTCCTGGGTATAAACCACATGTTGATTTAACACAATGTTCTGCTCTGTGCGGTAGTTAGTTGCGCACTGAAATAGATATGAATGAAATGGTTTGTTATAAAAATGGCAAGATAAAGAGGCTTATTTGGTAGTATATTAGCATATGTTGTGGTGAGGTGCACATACTTTGGAGGGAGGGGGCATTAAAATGTTTTCCTTTTGCCAAAGAAGCATTTGTTTGTGCTGCAAGCTTCCTGGCATCTCTTCAACACATAGAGTATCTTAAGAGCTTAAAAGAGGACCAAAATGGCAGGTTTTGGGGGTGGAATTTTTAGGTTGTGCATATTACTTGTAACAGCCCTGCTGGTTCTGCTGGGCTGGTTTCAGAGAGTTGAATTAGCATTAAGAAATGTAGAACTTAATCCTTCAGGAATGCAAGTATCACTACTTTTTAAGAATTGTGAAACTTTCTAAAATAAATCCCATTTAATAAAACTGCTTTGCAGTAGGGGAAAGAGCCTTGTCCCAAGCAGACTTTGTACTATTGGATTTCGTACTCTCTGTTACTTCACTAACTTGTTTCACTTTTGGTACCCCCGACAGGCCTTCGTACCAAGTGGGGATTACCATAGAAACAAAGTGGGGAATCTCCAGCTGTTTTTTCTTTCTTTTTTTTTTTTTTTTCTGCAGTAGTACACATTTGAGGTATAAATTGCCCATCTTTGCTATATGCCTATATCAGAAATGTGCAAGTGTGGTACAAAATCCAGTATTTGAATGGATGGCACATGCAGATGTCATTAAGTGGTTTAATTTGCCCTACAGTCATATGTCATGTGCTTTTAGCTTCTGGAGTAGAGCTATTGTGAACTGACCTCGCATTTTAAAAGGTGTGTATTGGTAAACAGAAAAAAGCTATATGAAACACACCCGTTTTAATACGGCACCTGATTTCACATACTAGTCTTCCCCTTAAGTAAAATATTGTTGGGCTGAAAATAATCCTACTGCTAAACTGTTGTACTATTACACGAGTTAATGATTGGTACAATATTCTGATCATGTATTTTCAGTATCATTTTTATTATGGTTTCCTCTGTATTCTTTGGAGGAGATGTTTTGTTGGCAGTTTATTTTATGTATTTTACCTTTTTTTTTTTTTTTTTAAAATCCTTAGCAACTCATAGACTTTGCTTAAAACAAAGTTTGTTTCTGAATTCTGTCTGTTAATGATATTTTGGATTTAAGTCTTTTGGCCATTTAAAAGGCATAGGCTCTTATTTTATTAAGAGTCAAACAGTGGGGCTTGACATTTTTTCCACAATCTAATTATTTTTCATTGGCTTCTTATCAGTGTCTTTATTATTGTCTGGAAGTGCAGTTAGCAGAAGAAATTTTCATTTGTTCTATAAGCAGGATGAATCTTAACTAACATTTTGATAGATGATATATCAAGAATGGAATGTTCAATGAATAAATGACTTCAGCATGCAATAGAAGCTGAAATGTCATACCCTATTTTTTTTTAAGAAGAGGAAAGCCAATATATGACTGAAAATGTAGCTTAAATTCCTGTGTCTGTTTTTGATACAAACAGTGTTTGTTTGGATCCATCTGTATCATTAGGTGATATTGTTCTAGATTAAAATAACTCCCTTCTCATCCAATTTTTTTAATGTTCTACTGTATTTCATACCAGCTAAGCTGAGGAGCCTGCTATGCAAATTGCACAGAGGGGAGGGAGCTTGTTGCTGATTGAACTGGGCATCACCAGTGTGCTTTTTTTTTTTTTTTTTTTTTTTTTCCCCCTAGTGCAAGTTCACTACTTCTTTAATGAATTTACTTTTGAGTAAGTTAGTTTGATTGCTCTTGTTGATCAGGTCTGTTTATTTTGAGATCTGTTTCTCATTCATTTTTCAGAACCTGGTGCCAGCTTTATAAAAATGACTGTTTGTAAGGTTTTCTGTATCGTAAAAATAGATCTCACATCTTTGCTTAGGGTGGGTCTGGGGGAAGTTTCTGGCCTTTTTTTTTTTTTTTTTTAAATACCATAAGTTATGAGAGGATGGATGCAGTAGGAGGATGGGTCATAAAGTTTTTAACCCATCAATTTTCCTATGATTTTTTTCTAAGATTAATTCTGAATGCAATTAGGGAGCACAGCCATAATTTTTATTTGTTGTGATAACCGTCATTGGTAGTAGGGAGACCCTACAGGGTTGTGCTTACAGGAGTAAGTTTTTGTTCTACCATGAAGGAAATGTGGGAATCTTTAGCGTTGTTTAAAAATTGTAGTTGAGCAGTTTTATACTGGATTTTGTTACTTTTGGAATATTGTACTTGGGAACCTTCCTGCTACTCCCACCATAGAAGATCACAAATACAAATGTCTCTTCTTGTGCAAAAATCAAGCTATGGTGTCAAGAAGTGAGTAGTTTTCTATTGGGCTTGTACTGAAGTTTGTTACAAACCTCCTGTTTACTTCATTGTGATGGGGTCAAAATCTTACACTGAGCAGAGTGGAGCAACTTAATGCCAAGTTGGCTGCTATTCTTATATATCAAATTCTGCTGAATCCTGTTTTCTGGCAAGAGGGGAGAAGACTGTTGTAATCCCCCGTGTGGTAACAGTTTGTCAGGTTTTACTGACACCACAGCCAAGTTGAAGACTGGACAGTGACAAAACCTTCACTGGAGAAGGTGACTGTTGTTAAGGCTGCTGAGGCCCCATCCGAGCATTGCTGATAATGGAAGGACCTTTGCCTTGATGTCAGTGGAAACTGGATCAAGTCTTAAGCGATGAGAGAAGAATGCATTTTGCTGTCACGATCTTTCTTGAAAAAGTTGGGACAATGAGACTGAAGTCCATGCCTGTTGTTAGGCAACCTTTCTATCTGCAGCTGAACGTACATAATGCCAAGATGTAGTTTTCTTTGCCTCTTACATCCCTCTTCATGCTACTCACATTATTGCAAAAAGTTAATTTGTGGTGGAAGAGGCTGAGTAAATTGAATCCAGAATTTTTATTACTCTTTGTATTACAGACCTATTTTGTAAGAGACCAAGGGTCTGGTGGAAAGACATGGCAAGGTTCATGTGAAGTCTCTGTTGCTTTCGCTACATGTGCCCTTCTTTGGATTACAGTTTGAGCTTGGATTACAACTCACTTCAGTCTGTCTGTCAAAAGCATTCATGTATTGCTTTTAGCTCTGTATTGACCAAATGTCAACTAGTGTGAAAGTGAGCTTTCTAGATGTTTTATTTAAAGTTAGTAGTGCAATTTATTGTATGTGTTTGTTAATAAACTATATTTTTGGATAGAGTTAGAGTCTATTGAAGTTGACTGAACTTCGACTCCAGGGGCTATTAAACTGTAGTGTATAATTTTTATTCCAGGTCATTTGCATTGACTTAATTAACTAACAAGTCTATCGCAGCACGGGGAGTGGGGAGGAGGGAAACTTTTCAAAACACTTTCACTAAGTTCAAAACACCGCTTCAGTTTGCTTAATTGCTCTGTCTCCAACAGATAATGGAGTTTGCCAGATGCTGCATAATATGAACGAAACTCATATGGAAACATTACTTCAAACCCTTCTGTGGATCAAAAGAAGAATAATTTTCAGTAGGGCTGTATTATGGGTCTCCATAGTAGTGCATAGATGTGGCTGTGGCTCATACATGGTTCCATAAGCAGCATTCAGCAGCCTTTTTTTGCTTATCTAGCAATTATCACTGGGACAAGGTTGCCAAGAATAAGCAGACTGGTCTTTTCAGTTACTTTACTCTTTCCTGCATAAAGTTTTTCTTCGGTGAAGCCTGCTTCTCTGTATCCCTTCTGATGAGTTGTCAAAGTTATTCTACATATTGTTTTATTGAATTATTGTATGTATATTAGAAGAGTAATAGTTTATCTTTTCTGAAGTGAGACCTATGTTAGTCAAGGTGACTCTGAATTAACTTACAGGGATGTCTTGAAGG